CAGTTGCACCCCCTGACACACACACACGTACACACAATGTCTGTGAAATTTTGTGTCAGTACGAAGTGAAAAGTCACTGACAAGTTTCTGAATTTTAGACTTTCCGAATTTCATCAAGTGAAAAATTATTCTGAAATGCTGCCAAAACAGCATTTTCTGCTTTCGGCATATCATTCTATGAAGGCAGACGTCAATATTTTTGGTACAGGGAAAGCTAGTTTAATGTGCATTTTAATTTAACAATATCAAGAATATTCCTGTTCATGTGTCACTCTTTCTTGTGTCTTTCATGTTTTGCAACAGGGGGGTGGCAAAACGCTGATAACAAAAGATAATATTTATTTTAGAACTGACATTTTGAAATGTTTCAAAAACGTTGCAGTTTTACAGAATAAAATCTAAATGTAAGAAATGTTCTGTTCTCATAAATAGTGGACACACTGTGTTACGAATTTGTTTTTTATTGATCCCTTTGTTTAGCACATGGGATTGTAACCAAAAATGATCCCAACAGTCATGCTTGTGGCTCACATATTCAATGAGGATGTGCAATTGCTTTTAATAAATTGTTAAATGAGGCTAAAAGTGAAACTTAAGTACTGTTTTGAAAGCTTTGTATTGCATTGTAGATTAGTAATATCTTAAGTGACGGATACAGATGATTTTGTTGTGATTGGCTGTTACTGTTTTCAGTAAGGATTGAGTTTGTGCTACCAACATTCTCTTAAAATATTCCTCCTCCTATGAGCTGTCGTAAGGTTGATTTGAGTCTTCACTGCACCTAGGACTCTGAGCCTGCAAGAGGCAGATTAGAATGGCTGTGTAGTTCTGTTTTTACTGCACTAAACCAGCTAAGAAACAACATGAAAACCATCTGATAAATGTATCTTAAAAGTACCTGAAGCCTGACTGGGGTGACGTTTAGGAAAAAAATAGATTTCTTTCTATTTTGTTTATTTTTCTTTTGTGATTCTCTTTATTAACTCATTTTGATTAATTTGAATGACTGAAAATACTTACGTTGGATTAACATACAAAAATATTCTGACAACAATATTAAAGAGCACAAAAAGGATAAAAAGGTCTTATGTCTATAACTTGTTTCTGTGTACAGGGAATAAAGTGCACAGTGGAAAAGAGTGTAAGTATCTAGTGTGCATTAAATTTAAAATTTCCTCTATTGACTGATTCTAATTCATAAAACACTACTGAAGTACAAGACGACACATTTCAGGAATCATCAATTCCATTGTTAAATTATTCTAACCAATAATAAATAACCACTTAGTTTTAACATTTTTAGGAACTTGTTCCTTTTAATAAGTGGATGTTTATTAACAAAAGTCAGATTCTTCTGATTTTTAGATGCTTTATCAATGTATCCTTGAGGATTAATCATTTATGTAATCATAAAGTCATTTGCAACTCCTAAACTAACATGGTACCAAAATCTGATATGTTATTATAGTTGTTTCTGTTCTACTCAGCTCTGAAATATTCATTCTACAAAGGTTGATTTCATAAAGCAGCAACCTGTAAACTACTGTATCAATTCCTTTCTCTGTACAGTTCCGGCATATACTGTAGCATAGATAAACATGATATCTGTGTGATAACATTAAGATTTCTGGAGAAGGAGTTAGTATTCAATGACATTCAAATAAAGCAAACATCACCTGTATGTATTTTTCTGTAAGTCTATAAAGGAATAATCACATCCATGTATGATATAACGGCAAAAGAATGTAGCTGCTTAATTTTCTCAGTAAACTGTAGCGAACATAGAAACATAATTTGAGGTTTCACATTACTGTTGAAAAGGAAATTTAATGTATCAGTTAGAATCAGTAATATTTGGATTGCCTTTTTTTCTCATCACATCACCATGTTGCTTAAGATCACATCAAACATCAAATACTTAGAAATCCCTGCATGCCTGGTCTCCTTAGTTTCCTGTGGTGTGGAGGGCAGTTGGTACAGGCTAAGGTTCACTACCTTTATCGCCCTCACTTGTCAGCCATTTCGGAGACAGTGTCCAGACCTGCTCTGCACTGCTTTTGATCGTCTCTTTCACAAAGTCCTCCACCTTTAACAAAGAGGTGCTTGTGTTACTGCCCTGCCCTAAATTTAATGTTTAGCATGGTTAGAGTATTGCCCTCTATTTATTAAACAAGGTAAGAAGGGAATGTGTTGTGTTTAGGTGCTCTAAATAATGCCTTCAGAAAAGTTTATTTTGAAAGGGTTGGCATAAACCTCGTATTCTGCTTCGTTTGGTTTCTTTTCTTTCTTAACTCAAGCTTGAGTGTCTCATTTCTCATTGGCGTTTGAAGATGTAAATGAAATATATAGGTTCAGTGAATCCTGGTCAGCTCTTTCTGACATTCAGTCACCTCCTAGCCTCAGGGAGGGCAGACTGACCCCAGTGTTTGATCCAAAGGACTTTTAAAATCGGTTTAGCCACATGAGCTCAATCCATCTGGTGCAGGTAAATCCCTCTGGACTGATCCAAAAGGCAAAGCTGAAAATCTGTCTCAAGTGTTCTGCAGGACACATGAGGTTACAGGTTGCTGTCTCCTAAACTAACGTAATTGGTGGTCTTCCTCCATTCATAATGAGATTTTTCAGAAGATACCACTCCCGAAGGAGTGCTGCCTTGTCTTTGTGGCAGAGGAAAAATAATTTAGTGGGCAAAACAAATTTAGAGGCAAAGCTGATACGCTTATTAATGGACATGTTAGGTACTAAAATATATTATGTGTGCTATAGTTTCCACAGTGATGGAACCTTAACTTCTATTTAAACTTCTTTCATATCTTCCATATTAAAATCATGAGTAAATTTAATCCCATATTGGATTGCTACTATGAAACTCTTAGTTTATTAGAATGTTAAATTACAGATGATTTTGTGCTTTTAACAAGTGAATTGGGAAACAAAAGTACTAAAGGGATGTAATAGTACTCCCTCTTAAAATGTGTGTGACGCACAGGGAATTTTCCTAGACTTGAGTTATCTACAGTATATCATAATCGCCACAATGGGTCGTGATGAGCAGAATACTCAACTGCCAGTTCGCAGATCCTAAATTGGCAGAGTTTATATATTGTAGAAAGTCCAATGCAATCCACCTCTTTAGTCAATATGAGTGTTTTTCCTTTCTCCTATCTATATGAATGCTTGGAGTTCAAATTATTTCTCTTAAAGCTCTGCTCTCTGTACACCAGAGGATTTCAATCTTTTCTGTGAGTTAGAGAGCTGCAAATGACCTTACTGCAAAATTTCAGGAAAGGTCAATTCCTGATATTTATCGACAAAGTATCTGTTCCAGCAGTGTGCTCTGCTTTATAAACTATGAAATATACTGAATGTCTGAGGAAACATGTCATATGCTTTCACTGTACATTTTTTAAATAATACAATACACTGCAGGGGAACCCAGAACAGCCTGAGGCAACCACGTCAACTCCTAAGCTTCCTCCGTGTCAGCCTGAATTACGTTTACTGAGAAACATTAAACAGTGCTTGAAATGTCCATTTTCTAGAGCCTGACCACCAGTCTTTACTCGGAAACTTTACCAGAAATTAAGTGCGTCATGATGTTAGTTATTTATGTTTTCATCTGACATCAGGAGGTGGAACATGGGAGAGCTTGGGAGTATAAAGAAGTTTTATATAAAGCCTGCATCTTGGTCATTTGAAATTCCCAAATTTTGACCTGGTCTGTTTATTTCTACTCTTTGCAGTTGCTTTAACTATGAAAACTACTCTGTACTGGTCGTATATTAAGCATAAATCAGACCTTAAACACCTAATAAATTATTCTATCCTATAATGTACTTTTTCCAATTTATTACTTCTAAAGCACTTCAGAAAATAGTCCATCATGAATTATCACCAGCACCAGGAACCAGTGGTCACAAGGATCTTATATTAAATACAGTTGCTCATGTTGTTACTGGGAGCATCAAATAACCTGCGCAGGAACTAGTGGTAGATTATTCCAACCTTGGAGATGCACAATCCTTGTGCTTCTTGCTCTTTGATATTTAAAAACTTGGCAACAAATGACAACCTACTGATCAAGACTAAATAAGAAAGGAAGAGTGTAAAAATGAGATGAAAAGTAGAACCCATCTTGCTCTTGGGACCAGCCTGGGGAGCTCACAGGTCATCACTGATGTAAACTAGTAAACCATAGAGTAGACTGAAGGGTTGAGGGTTTAAATTCCTGATGGGACTCTGCTGTTGTACACTTGTGAAAGGTATTTACGCAGATTGGTCCCGTAAATGCCCTGCTACATAAATGGATACCAACCATGTTGTCATAACAATGATGAGAAATGGTTCTCATTTGGTTTATGTGGTTGTAATTAAATAAAAAAACTGCCCATGAGGACATGCCTTACAGAAGGAACAGGAATGAAAACTGCTGTCCCCGTTTTTTTCTCACAGATTCTCCCAAATGATCTCATGATAGGAACACAGGTCTGTCAGTCTTTGTGCTCCTTTTCTTGGTGAAGCCATGTGAGCTTCACCTTTGGATGATGAAGGAGCAGTAAACTGAACCACTGACATTGTTCATGTGGTGAAAACTTAAGTCTAGCCTGGACAATATATTTGATTTTCCATCTGAACTAAAAACACCTTTTGGTTTTAATCAACAAGAGCCATTTTAAAAACAAGTTATCCTAGCTGGAACAAGTGATTATTACTTCATTATTTGGTTTCTATGGTGAGTTTGAGTCTTGGAAATAAATGACAAGTGAACTTCTCTTACACTAAAAAAAGTGTATTTTTGTGAAAGAATAGACATTTTCAAAAGTTTGAGGATTAAGAATTTCTCACTAATAATTCATTAACAGTGACTGGTGCATACACCTGCTGTGTTACGTACATAAGACAGCAGGTGTAATATATAATGGCAGTATATTGCTATATGCCTCTTTTGTTTAGTTAAGCTGACAGTTATATAAACGTGTTTTGCTTTTTGTTCTTTGCAGTTGCTAGAATCACAAGATGTAAAAGAAGATGCTGTCTTATGCTGCTCCATGGAGGTAAGAGTATAAAATATGAAATTAAATTCCTCTCATACTTTTTCTGTGTTTTAGGTGTCTCTTGGTTCCTTCTGTTCATTCGTGCATTCTGTTCTCTTGTTCAAGCTAAAATTGAGCCATGATTCTCTCAGTGCATGCGGTTCTGAGAGAGATTTACTTTAAAGTTATTTTACTTTAATTTTACTAATTTTATCTGTGAAACAGGGAATGCCTGTCTTTTAAAGAATCTTGAAGATGTCAAAAAGCAATCATGTAAAACACTCTGGAAATAATCCAAGATGCTGATGAAGAAGCCCATACTGTAGCCTGATATCAGGTCTTATGTGAGAATCATCATCTGCTTTACATTTAGGATTCTGTAATGAGACATTATTGAAGGCAAAGCAAACTAATTTAAATCTCAATGGGCCCAGTTCGAACCCATTTCTAGGACTTTGCCAGTAATATTCTATTTTAGGCAGAGATAAATATTTCTGTAGATTTTTTCTTTGAAGGTTAAGCATTGCTTTCTTTTACTAATAATGGTACTGGACAGTGACAGGCAAGAAGAAAAATGTTTCTTCAAAATCTAAACCTTTACTGAAGCTTTTATGAATATAACAATTTATTCATCTACCACAAGGAACTATTTAATTAAATTAAATTTTGTCCTAACCAAAGCTTAATGCTTTATTGTTAATTAATTGTGAATATACAAAATTTGATATGTATTTGTATGATAAGCACAAACGTTGTTGATGGTTCTTTGTGCAATGTGAAAAGGGAGCTAACATTCTGCAGTATTTTTCACAACAAGAGAAAGGCTAGCTTGTTTTGTACTTCACAGATTGCTCTTGTCTGGCCAGTGTTATTTGCCTCATAAAAATACAATTAAGTCTTGAAGGAGACTAGTAAACATTAAAAAGCTGAACTACCAAATGTAGTACAATAAAAAGTTTGTAAAACAAATGTAGCAGTATAAACTTTTCAGCCATGGAAAAATGAACAGTCAAAGGTTTAACTTGATCTGTTTTTGGAGAATAAATAATTTGCAGTCTACATCAGCATTGGTTGCCAGCAGTTTCTAATGCTCTTATCAGATTTTACAAGTAAGATAATACTGTACATCCATCCATTTTTTAGACATTTTGTCCAATACAGTCGAGGGGGAACTTGAGCCTGTCCTGGCAAGCATCAGGCACAAGGCAAGATACACTCTGGACAGGATGCCAGTACATCACAGACACGCACACACACACACACTTCCATCAGGGACACTTTTCTCAGAAGTCAATTATGAAAAAGCCAAGTATGTCTTTGAACTGTGGTAGGAAACCAGAGTACCTGGAGGAATCCCACAGAAAACACAGGGAAAAGATACAAACTCCATGCAGATTGCACCCCAGGAAAAGGGCTCTAGGGTCTTAGAACTGGCAACAGTTGCAAGGCACCATTACTAATCACTGTGCCACCATTCCACAGTGCCATCCATCTAATGTATAGTATAAGAACTGCAGTGTCATTAATTTGGAGACATAATTCAACATTAAGGTCATGCACTTAATGTAAATTCAGCAGGACAGTCAGGACTAAGCTGTAGGAGTTTGATGAAGATGGGGGGTTTTCCTGGAAGAATCTCATAAATTATTAATCTTGGCTTGAGCAAGTTTAAAGTGTGACTTATCACTCCTCTCCCTCTTCTCTAGGCCGGTTTGTTAAGATCAGACATAGTCTTAGGGAGGTGAACTCAAGGGCATGATGTCCTGTATGATAATTTTATGAGCACCATAGGCAATGTACCTTTCATTTACAAAATGACAAGTCAGCAGCAGTATCGCAACGACACTGTTAATGTACAGTAAAACTCACCACTTATCTACTCATGATGTAAGTGCCATACTGTGTCATTTCAATTATCATTGCACAAGGAAAAAACGTAGTGGCCCCACATTAATAAGAAGTAGATTGAGGCAGGTTATGTGTTTGTTAATACAAAGATGTCCAAATCTTTTGCTATGGGATTGCATTTTTAAAAGAAGGCTTTTATTAATCCCTTTGCAAAATCCATTCTGATTCACTTTATTATACATTGGTGACATAATTATGAACTTTGTGAAATGAATTCATTTTTGCACTCTGACACTGGCCCTTTTTTTAACAATAACTGAATGTGGACTATTATCACTATTTTACAGCTTGCCCTTGTTCCAAAAACAAGATTGGAGGAAACCTTTTTTTTTTATCCCGTGCCAAAAAGTAGAACGTTTTTTTAGACGTTTGTATTTACGCTTTGGAGCCCTCTATAGGTTTGAGAGTGCTTGAATTTATTCAGAATAAATTAATAAAACTAATGTAACCCAAAATTTTATAAAGTTCTGTCCAATCAACAGCATGTAGAGAACAAAGAATGTGTACCTAGTAGGGTGACTACTGCTGTAGTGAGTAAGGGTTACTCAGGGATTGACTGCCCTGATTCAGAGATTATGCTGTACATGAGATAAAGAGCCCCTTCCGTAAAGTCAGTAAAGCCCAAATGCCTATTAAATTATTCCCAAGCATGTTCTTTAAGCATGGCTGACTGGCTGAGCTGGTTTACCCTGGGAAGAAGCAGACATCTCTGAATCTTTCCAGCCAGCTACGCTTCTGTCAGGGTAACTGCTTCTTGAGCCTAAAAAAAATATGTAACATAGTCTATTGGGCTATCCAGATTGTTTCATATTACTGATGATTCAGTTGATCGCATCCTCAGTTCTGACAAGGCTCTATTATAATTATGTTTCCTAAATTTACTCTTCATTAGAAGACTAATGGACATCGCATATGTGAGCAAATCGCATATGGCTGTCATCTTGTTTTGACATTTGCTGAAATACACTGCTTGTCTAAGCCAGTGGTAGACTATAATTTCTAACAAATAATGTTATTTGCATACCCTCCTTGTATATTTACTAGATAAATGGTTCAGGTTTAGTTTTCATTTTTAATTATCAACCAAACAGATATTAGGGTGACATGGAGGCACAGTGGATAGCATTGCTGCCTCGCAGCACTGGGGTCCTGGGTTGAGTATTTGGTCTGCTATCTTTGCAGAGTTTTTGTGTTTTCCCCATGTGTGCTCAGGAATTGTCAAAGTGCTCTGTTTTCCACCTACAATCCAAAACATACTTGGTAAATTAATTGTCTTCTGGTCCTGAGTGTGAGTGTGTGTGTTTGTGTGTGCCCTGCAATGAACTGGCATCACATCCAGGGTGTATCCTGCCTTGTGTCCTTTACTACCTGGAACAATCTCCAGCTCCCCAACAACAAGCTGCACACTGCACAGAATTAATACAATCCATATAAAATTATGAGTAGTATACCCAGTATAGTATTAATCCTATACTCCCTAAATTATGAATTATGTAGTCATGTTTTAACTTTAATTATACTTTACAGTATAAAACATTAGTAATTCTTGAACCTAGTAAATCTTATACCACATCCTGTAAACTGTTATTGCTCATACTGTATTACATAAATATTACTGTAGCTCTTGAGCAGTGTCATTCAGTTTACATAGAATACTACCATTCTAATACTACTGGTGCTCTGATGGATGCAATATTGTGACCTCTTTTGACCTAAACCTAAACCTTACAATGAGTGATCATGAGTTGCACAAAACCTTGCAAATTACACGGGGTTATAGTATAAGTAATAAAATCTTATATTAACAGAATTTTTTAGCTATGTATTATCTGCTACCTAATTTAAGAAATGTGTACTGTATATTGAAGCATAGGCTCACAACAGTTACACGAGTTGGGTTCAGATTAGCTAGTTTTTCAAAATAAAGGAGTGAGATTATTTTTTATTTTATGTTGCAGTAACATTTTTGGTGAAAGCACTCTGAAATAGAATGCTCAGTGACCTTTTTTGAAATATACCAGCAAGACACATTTGGAAACTTAAAAGAAACCCCTGCATGATTAACAATAATGTTACTTCGCTTTTAATTTCTATTCTTAAAGAGATTTCATTGTATGGTAAAAAGAACTGCTGGGAATCCAGCCTGCAGTCAATTGAGACCTTTCAGGGCTTTATTTTGTCTCTGTAGAAGATGCCTATTTTGAAGTCTTCTTTTTCCCTTGACAAATTAGAATTTCAGAGCGTGCGTTTGCAAGCGCTGACCTCAAGTCTTCCTCGCTCCACCTCTCTTCTTTCTTTCCTCTCTTCGTCCATCTCTGTGTTTGCCGACAGCTGCAGAGCACTGGCAAACTGCTGGAGGAGCAGCTGCCCGAGATGATGACAGACCTCCTGGCAGTGGCGCGAGACAAGATGCTGTGCCCTTCTGAGTCCCAGCTGACGCGCTCCCTGCTGATGGAGGTCATAGAGCTGCATGCCTATCACTGGAACCCACTGGAGGCCCTCACCACCCAGTACTACAACAGGACCATCCAGAAACTCACAGCTTGAGACCCCGCATCAGAAGAGGAAGCCAGGCTGCGGGCGGGGGTTATGGGATATGTGGGTGGGTGGGTTGGTGGGGGTGGGGCGGGTGGTTGGACAGACAGGAAGGCGTGTCAGGGTTACCATCGCCACCGTCTGTGCTGAAGGGTGGGCTCGTCATTCACACTCCGTTGATAATGAGACACAGCGAAGCTCATCAGACTGAGAACAAAAAAAGAGGAGTGCGGGGCGATGTCCCAGCATGCTGTGAGGGAGAAAACGAGCAGGGGACAGATTTGGGGATGTGACTTGGGGTGGGAGGGGGGGATTCTCTTTGCTCTTTTGTGTTCGCGTGCCAACCAGCCTCCCCTTTTTTCAGGCACCCCCGTCACCATCCTCCAACACAAACACTTGCGTATTGTTTCGTAGAGACCCTTTTCACAAGCCAGGGGTGTCTGCTGTCAGAGAGGTCAAAGGAGTTAGACTGGAGAGAGAAGGCAAAAGCCGGGTATGGCATTGTTTCTCTGTGCCATTGTGTGCGGGCCTCTCTGGCCCACAGACTGGCTGCCAGCAGCAGATGGCTTCAGGAGTGACAATGGGAAGGCACGTTCCGAGTTAGATCTTTCGAGCTGAACAAACAAGAGAGAGCAGCAAGCCGCTTGCTTTTGTCTTTCTGTCTACATCAAACCGGGCTCGTCCATAATGATGTCATTGTTGTTATTGATATTATGATATTATTATTATTTTAAATCATGTTTCGAAAATGATTTGAAATTCTAGGGTAGACCTATTGCACGGGTTTAATTTATTTTGCACTGTTTTAAGGCGATTGCTTTAAAAAGAAAAAAAAACTGATCAGTCATATGGGGTAGTGTCAGAAGTTTCAATAGCTAAAGAATAAAGGGTTGGACTATAGGGAAGGCTTTTGACTAGAAGAATCATTTGAGACTATTCAAAGAATTGGAGAGACCAGAGGCCTTGTCAACTGCTACGTTTTGTAGTTTACCGTCACTGAATGTACATACTGTAATAGAAATGGACTATTCCCTGCAAATTGCAGCTTACAAAAAAGGCTTGAAAAACATAAAAAGCAAGCATGAAATTAAGCTTTCTCTAGTAGCTGAAAAGCCTTCCTAAGCGTGGGACGTAATTTATCCAATTTGCAGTGGATGTCTTTGCAAGTTTTTATATATACACACATGTATGTATATATATATATTTCAGATTTGTGTTTCTTTATTTGCAGGTGATTAAAATCATTTACCATGTAGTATTTTCCATTATCCCAGCTTGAGCAAATGTGTATACTTCAGGCAAGTCAAAACAATTATTTATGATTTAAAGACATCTTTATAAAATTATCTAAAATATTGTCATGGTTTTCAAGCAGGGTGGATATGTATCTCAAAATATTGTGAAACATTCTCATTATTTAAGAAGTATTCTGGGGTGCCTGTGACCATCCTACCAAATTTAAATTTGCATTAGCAATTTTAGAACCGCGCTCGGGGTGCATTCTTAGTTTTATAGTGCATTATGGGTGGATAGTCATGTCATTTTCTCTATCAACATGAGTACAAGCCTTGAAGTGATATTTTAACATAGCATTCTTTTCTTTTTAGAGATTTTATATGATGTGGTTTTGATGTCATTTTACTGATACACATGGACATTTAACATCACAGTGTGATGTTTGTACATTTTGAGTTTCATCTGTCACTTCAAGAGGCAACAAAATATCTTTTTTTAAATCATAAAGAGAGGTTCCAGAAGGTTGTGTTGTTGTAAGAACATAGTCTCCCATAACTTTTGAATGCAGTGACCTCTGCTGCAGCCCATTTCTAAATACAGCTCATCTGTGGACAGTTGGTTATGTAGAATGTTCTTTCACATGAAGTTGCCTTTGATCAGTGCTCTCTGGTCTGGTCTACTCTGAAGCCTCTGTTTACACTGAGGTATTGGTGGCTTTTAGAATCACTGAGATCTATCAAGAAAAGTCCTTAAAATTCATCTGAAACTTGTCTGTGAAAGCCATTTAAATGTTAGCAAGCATTGTAGGACACACACCCTCCTTTTAGATGTAGCTCCTTCATTTCTTTCCATGAGTAAACCTTTACTGGGTTTTCTTATAATGTTCAGAATATCTCCTGTCTTAGGTGAGAGAAACGTCCTGATTAGTTAAAGCAACTCTGGCTATGTGCTGCCACTACTGCAAAAATGAAACAAAAGGCAAGTTGTCTAATTAAATCAAAATTCAAGTGTTTGTCATTAAATGAGAGAAACATCACTTTCATAGCAGTAACCAATTAAAATTCCAACAATGCAGTTGTTAAATGCCTTTGCTCTTTCTTCATTATGTTTAGTAAATGCAGCATTATTGAAATAAAAAAAAGTTATTTTATAATATTAAGATATGGATTAAATATGACAGTAGAACCTTAACATCTTGATTAGTCATCCCTTTAAATTGAATATAAAGTGTCACCATTATGTCTGGCTAAGGAAATTAAGTGATGTTTTGTCTAAGACTCTGCTGCTTGTTTGTTTGTTTTTTGGTTTCAAAGAGATGTCCTTGTTAGAATTGTGTTTTCTTTGCAGCATAAACCTGTGCCGCAGGCAAGCCTGCAGTTGTAAACCAACCAATACACTCCCTCACTGGTACAGTAACAAAAATCTCTAAGGGTTCTCCTTGTTTAGGAAGCACAAAGAGCCAAAGTCATAGCTTAAAGTGAGAAAAATTCCTTGAACACCTCAGCCATTTCACTCCTGTATTTGTTACTGAAATATCAGTGAAGCAACATAAACTGTTTTAAAAACTGTAAAGTAAGAAATCCACAATGTACATGATGGCTCATCGGAACATATTCAGTATCAGACTTTTGTGTCGCTTTAAAAAGCTTTTTTCTTTTTAATTTTAAACTTTGTAAATGCTGGTTTTTCTGTATATGTATTTGAAAGAGACAAGCTGGCCACACTGCTTCTGGTGGCAATGGTGGTTAGAATGCAGACAGAGGGGACATCTTTTGCAAAGGAAGAGTACAGTGTAGCAGGTGAAATATATCAGATTCGAATGTACTGTAATTGAAAGTGCTTCAGTCATAGAGACTAACTATGACACTAACAGTTGAGGTGCAGTCAAAAAAACGACAGCAGAACAATTGCTGTGTGGTTTTAATATTAGTATTTCTAAGAGCATTGACGTCTCACTACCTAGTTGCATATCTAAAATATATATTGTATACTGAATAAAAAAAAAGTTCAATGAAACCAGTTAATGAGCAGAACATAAACTAGTGGTTTACTTAATTGCTGCACTGTAAGAAGGCATTTATGTTTTGCTGCTTTCTTTCTGGGCAAGGTTAAGTGAGAACAAGTCTGAAATGCAGTGCCTTTTACACTGCCACAGGATGACACAAACAGCCTGTGTGAGGAGATTCCTTTTGACTCAGATGGTCCAGACTGTGTTTTCATCACAGGATTAAGGATTGGCTAGCATGAACACATGCCTAAATAGTAAGAAATAAATTTAGTTAAGACGTTTATGTTTTTTTACAGAGCTGCCAACAGCAAGACATTTAACTGTCCTCTGTAGTTTTCACTGAAGGATTATCTGGGAAACCATTTTAAAGTTACCAAAGCCTAATCCCTTAATTGTGGAGAGACAGCACTGATCATCTGCTGACCAAAGATTTTTCTGACTAGATATTTTCTGTTTGGTTTAATATACAATATGCCAGGTAAAATGAATACACATGGCTTACACTGTGTGAAAAACATGGAAAGAACCAATGCCTAATAATCTTTTCCATCTTTGTGTTTAAATTACTTATGAGTTCCATGTGTGTCTAAGACATAATACACTATATAATATAAATGTGTTAAATTTGTCACATATAAGAATACAACAGAAAACCTAACAGCAGAAATCTTTGTTTTCTCACGCTTTTGATAATGGCAGTATTTTATTAATGTGACTGTCTAAGGGAGAATTTGGTACATGGTAATGGAAGGATCCAGCAGGCTTCTCTGGCAGTCTGATTCATTTAAGCAGATAGGAAAAATATTCTTCCAGCATTACGGAGGAGCTACATGGTGGGCTTATGTAGTGAAGGAGTTCAGCCTAGCACAGGCTGAGCCCATCTTCGATACAGGCATCGTGGGCTAGAGCCTGGGTTGGTAGTCTGCTGTGACCATGATTCCTCAGTGATGTGCAGGGTAGGTTTGTGAGAACTCAGGCCTTCAGGCAGCACAGCAGCCCCTGCGACATTCCAGGCACCAGCAGGCTTGCGGTACCATCAACGAAGGGGGCATGTCTCTCCTTCAGTCTATACGAGGCAGCTACTGTAGTGGGTCACATGTCAAAAGATAAATGGGCTCGAAGTTAAAGGGTCAGAGGAGTCGGCCTACATCTCCTCTCATCTGCAACTGCAGGATTCATATATGTGAGCTGACTCATTAGCACCACACATTTGACAATTCAAAATTAGTTATCTATACAGTATGACAGCATATCAAATTGTTGTGAAATGCAAGTTAAAAGTATGGACATCAATATTAAGCAGTGAATTCTGATCACCATCGAAAGAGACATTGCTTTTCCTTGCCATATGCATTATTCCTTCATGTTTATCGGAGCATTTGGCTTTTCTCTGCCTTTTTGAAAGTACTTTGTATATTTAATTGGGCTTTTAGCACTTCAGAGTGAACTGTTAATTATTGCTGTAGACTGGCTAGAACAGACACATGACCAACTGCAAGTTTGTATTTTTAAGCTTCAGAATGTTTTCTCTCTGCTAAATCTTGCATCCCCTAAAAGTATTTTCAATTTCCAAATGCTCATACACATTCACCATTCTTACTTTTTCCCCAAGATTTTCCTTCAGGAATATTCAAGGTTTAAAACACACAACAGGTTCTTACAATGCTGACTCGTTGACTAAAGCTACCATGATGTGTAGTTCACAGCTTAAAGGCCAGTTAGCAATTATTTCTAGATCATATTTTACCCAATTGCTTAATGAAGCCATTTCAACTGATATGGAAATACCTACTTGGATTGGGTTTGAGCAATGAGAGGAGAATGTATTTTGCTTGTTTGTGTATTCACTGAATCACATTTTATGTTTAAAGTGCCATATCAGGTGGACTGTGTCTTTGCATCAGGAGCATAAAGCCCAGAACTTGAATCATTCCCGACTGGCTTAGCTGTGTAGCAAATGAATGTTGGTCAGATATATTTTTGTTGTTCATTTGTAAAAGTTAGGAATTAGAAGTTCGATTAATTGTCTTGCATGCTGAAGCTTGTATGGAACCTAACAAATATATTTAAATACACACAGATAGTTCACGTTCATTCCTGGTAGGACATTTTATATTCAATCACTTTTATTATTGGAGGAGGTAGTGAAATCTATCATTAAGAATGTATTAAAGCCAATTATGTGCAGCCAACCTGTGACTGACTATTATCCTACCTCAGAGGAATCTAATAACGTCAAAGTCACTTAAACCTGCTGAAACCAGGATGGCCCTCACAAGCCTCTTGGTTTGTAAAAAAGGGTTTTAACCTACAGTAACTGAGTAATTGTGTTGACATGTGTAAGGCGTGGAGCAGTTTTTAAAACATATTTGGAGCCCTGAGAGAATTGTCTGAGAGAATCCAGGGAATAATTATATGCATACAAAAGCTATCATCCTGCCATTGCATATATGTTGGGTGAGATTGGTATGTTTTTTGCCAGTTACTCCATTTTTCCCCTCACCTTCCAAAGACATTTTGGTTGAATTGATTGCCGTCTCTGAATTGTCCTTGTGCTTTGGATCAGCTTTCTGATGGTGGATCAGTTCTCCTTGCGTTTATCATCAAAGCCATTATTTCAAATTCTAAAATAATTTGCTCTTTATTTTATCTACAATCTAGTTGGTAGTAGTTTGCTTTTTCATTTTTGACACTTATGAAGTTGCTTCCAAAATCAATTGAATTTGATGCCTTGCATTTAAGCATAAGAAAAAAAAAATGGAAAGAAAATAATTTAAAACAGTTTTAAAGCCATTTATGGTACCTGAAGGACATTTTTTGAAGGACATTTTAATATATACCAAGCACCTTGTTCTTATCCAAGACAGATAAACCAGGATATGCAATCCTTTTAGCATTAGACTTCAAGGTTTTGCTTTTCTTCAGTAACAGTAAGATTGTAGCCTTTTGATAGTAGTTTTTATTTTTCTTTATTTTTGCTGCCAGAGAAAAATTCCAGGAAATGTAATGTCGAAGGCAAAAGTCTTACTATTATTGTAAATTACAAGGTAATATTAGTTAAGACAGCAAACATGATTTCTGTTTCAAAAACAATTTCAATATTTCATGAAGTAAGCTGAGCTTTTATGTACAGTATAAGGGAACCAGAAAGTCATATTCTCACATCCTGGAATGGCAACTAGGAAATGATGTCATGACCTGTTAACTTCCTGAATTAACTGTTTAATGATTCTTTGGGTTTCAGTTGCTGACTAAAGCTGAACTTCACACAGTGAAGTCTCTTCCATGTTGAGATATGCGTTGAGCACCTGAATGTGTTGAGTGTTTTCCAGTGGTGGAAAGTTAGGTTTGAAGTCTGCCTACTTTGCCAGACTCAAAAGATTCTAATTAATAGAAACAAAGGACTACAATGCCTAGGTTTCAGACTAGCATAATGCAGGGCCTTTTAACTCCAAAGGTGTCATCTGCAGAGTGTATCCAGTTCATGTTAAGCCATCTAACACTGACGAAAGGGATTCCTATAGTAAACCCTCTGGTTCAACTGGCTTGGACTACAAATTGGTTTGAATGTGAGCCCTTCATCTGCAGCATGTTGTGAAAATTGGTCATTTTCAGAGTAATTAATAACACATTTTAATGGAGGTTGAAATGTTTTCTGTTTTCTCGTGGCCCACTTCTTGTTGTGAGTATAACGTTAAGTGATTTGTTTTTTTAAATACTTTTTTCATCATTTAAGTTATGCATCTATAATATCGTTGTATTATGTGTGCTTTTATACTATGGAAACTATCAGCACGCAGCACCAGGTTTAACATAGATGTTGCAAGAGAGTTCCCTGGTGCTTTGAGCTGGATGTATGCTTCATCCTGTTCTGGTCTTCAAAGCTTGCAGTTAGAGAATTTCCCTCCTTCTGGAATATGTGTATATTATTTATTAAACAATGGAATTAAAGTTTGATGGTTATGAATATAGGTATCTGAAAGTACAGGACTGGCAGCTTTGAAGACTATGGTCCATTCCATACACTCTGTGTGTAGGTTCAACATACCAAATGTTCTGTTTTCCATTCAGGGTGTCCAAATGTGTGGTCTAATGTCTAAATAAACATTGAGTTTTTTTTTTGAGATGGAAGTCAATGTTAATTTAATCTTGCTGTAACACTTGCCATTGCCACCCATACATTGCATAATGAGACCTCGAAGGACAACCTCCAATCGCCGTGCTAGCCAGCAGCTAAAGCACAGTAAAGAGAAAAATGCAGTAACAAATGGGGATTACATTACTAGGAAATGTACTAAGCAGTAACAAACTGGTGGCTATATTACTTGGTTTTCAAATACATATACAGTCTTTTTTTTAGCAAATCAAAATTTATATTAAATGATTTCTGTATCATGGCATTAGCATGTCTTCTTTATACAGTTTGCAATTAGAGTGAGAAATGTTTGAGGTGTTCTAAGACTAACAGCAGGAAGTAACACCTGATGGGTTGGTTGCTACACTTTAGTACTTGTCTAGCACTTGTAGCATTCTGCCCTGCTTCCTGACTGTCTCTGTTGCTTGGCAACATGAACTTCAGTGACAATCTTTAGCTTGTCTCTTTTGGCCTTGCTAGAAATTGCCAGTTATTTGTGCACACTCAGTGTAACTTTGCAGTTTTGGGAGCAGTATGTTGGGGTTTTTTTAACATTATGGTCAGTTTGGGAATTTTTAAAAATATTGTAAGTGCAATTTTCAGGCAAAATTCACATCATAATGTTTTAAAAAAGGAGTTTTCAGATTTGCTTTAAATTGAAGTGCATAAAGTTGACTCATGGAGTGCTGTTTGATTCCAAACATTGCATTATCCATGGGTCAAAAGACTTGATAAATATGGCACTTTGTGTACACAAAAAGTATCTATTAGGTTATCAAAATCCAGATTTACAGTTTTGAAAGAGGACAGCAATGTAATGTATTCTTTCACATTAAAATAACAATCTTTTTTTAAGTTGGATCTATGGTTGCTTTAAAAAATAAGGTGGCTTGTTTTGCTTTGTAATTTAGAAGGCAGGATTTTCCTCATCATAATCTAGAAGATTAGCACAACAACTGACAAATTTGTGTTACTCTTTTGGTTCATTTTTTTAAATATAGGACATGATCAGACAATGAAAGTCTAAAGTCAGAAGTCACCGTTGACTGTGATCTATTTCCAAAATGAAGGCTGGGAAAAGGGGAAAACAGGAATTCAAATTTTGTGGAGGAAAAAGAGACCATTGTTTTTAGAGGTGCTGCTCCTGAAATTGTTATTTTCTAAATTAAGAGAGTAACTCTAAAGCCATTCTCTTTTCAGGTTAAAGTGTCTCTTTGAATATCAGTCAGCTGAAGTGCAGTGCAAAACATGTAGATGCACTTCATAGTGGCCTCTGAACTATTATTGGGACACTATTATTGGCAGGTTTGTTTTTATTTTTTTTAAGGTTGTTCCATTTTAAGAAGAAATTGAAAATGCCTGTAAACACTAATTGAGTTTATTGAATGTGGAGCTAACTATTGTCACATATAAAGAAATTTAAAATGGGTTAAAAGGGGGCTCCCTTCAGTCTTTTTTGTCTTCTGTCTGAGCTCTACAGATATTGTTAAGCATCACAAATAACTTTTTTAAAGAATTACCAGATTCAATAGAACAACATTTTAGGAACCCGCTGAGTTTGTACAAAGTAAGTAAGCTTACTTACTAAAATGGCAGCCTAGTAGTCCTTCAAGTGGACTTCACTTGGAGTACCCTCACTGCCGTTATTTCATAAATCTGTCTTTATCCCCATGTTAACGTAATTGCAGACAGTGCTGTACAAGGCTGATTTTGCAGGGCTTCATACATTAAGCACAGTAACCTTAAAAAAAAGGTGTCCCAATAATCATCTTTATATATGATGGCAAGCTCAGCTCCAGACAAGTGGTAACTTCAGTTAATGTCACTATTTGGTGTCATTTATTACCAGACTTTCATTGTAAAAAAATCATACTACAGCAGTAATGTCTCTTCAAGCCTTTGTTGAGAGATGAAAATGTAAAACTTGTGTGTCTGACACATTGCATAATTCTGGCTATTTTTTGCACACAACAATTAAAATCATTCAATGCATACAAGCAAGAAATCCATGCAGAGTTTATGCACTGTGAAACATTTTGTTTTGTTAAGATACACATTTTCCTGAATAAATACTTAGTAAATATTAATGTTGGGGGAAAAAAGTTGATTATTTTGTCTGGATTGAAGCATACACTGGTGAGGTGCTGAGCTGCTTGAGGATATGTGCCTGTTAAGCACAATAGATTGTATGATTTTAGCTTTCAGTTAAAACCTTGGGCTTCACTGAGAGTTTAGGATGTGTTGACAGAACATCTTGGATAATACGAATGGATACATCTGATTGACAAAGCAGGGTGCAGTGTGAGGTATGCTGCTTTGCGTGTGCAAATGTATTTAAACCTCCATGCTACTGCATGCCACTAGAGGTGAATGTGTCTTCGCTATTTACAAGGTATGTCCTTGTTTGTGAAATTGTACCCCCAATGACACCTCATGGTACAAATAAATAATGATGTGGCTACAATTTGTCTTTGTCATCATCTTCACAGACTTTTTTGATGCAATGAAATCAATATTTAGAGTTTCAAATGCAGATGTTTTATTTCTCTCATTACTTTACAAATACATCAATATGTGGTGCAAGGGTTCTAAGCATATTTCAATTATAGCCATTTCCAAAATTATCTTAATTACTGTTATTAAAATTTGTTCTAATTTATTTAATCAGTGATTTCAGGTCATGGGCTGTCCTAACATTTTTGCTAAATATGTTTCATTTACAGTACATATTTAATCAAGTCCAGATCCTCATTCATTTTATTTTAGTTAGTTGTGCAAGGCTTAACAGCGTTGGGCAAATTCTGAGACAAAACGTTGTCATCAAAAAGGCAGGACAGTTTATTAATGATAAAGAAACATTCCAAGACGGAGCACAAATCCATTATCTGTTGTCTCCACTATAATAAAGATTTTCAAATTTGATTGCAAAAAAAATGTAGACAAAAATTCTGCTTTAAAGTAGAAAAATGTCACCATGCCTGTTGTTCTGTGGCTATCAGGCCAACTTGATGACAAAGTGGCTCTTCCCTTAATAATGTTTGGACAGCCCTGATTTTGCTATAACAACATGCAAAAGTAAACAGAAAAGCAGAAAAGCTTGCAGCATTACCAGCTCATTTTACTGCTGAAGTGCTTGTGAAAGGATGAACTCAGTGAACCCAGTTTTTATTCATTTCTTCCCTCCTGTTTTGTTTGGGGTTTTCCCTCATTTTCTTTTGCTTTCCGTGACGTCATTGATAGCATGACTAAATACCTCAGTATACAAAAGAAATGTTTTTAATTTTTTGCACATTTTTCATTTGTATGTATCTTGCTATTGTAAATGTATGCATTTTAATATATGCAAAATAATGAAATTGCTTAAAGTTATCTTTTTTTTTTTCGTATGGACTGATGCTGAATAGTGCTACCATTTATGAGGATTGTTGTGAAGGTGATCACAACTTTCATATATTAAAATTCAATTCAGCCATGAAAAAAAAGTGTTTTGTGTCTGTTGATTTGGAGTGTTTTATACATTTTTGTTTGGAAAAAGGAAGAACAGTGCTTTATTTTTAATTAGCTCACTATACATGTTTTCCAACATGAACCCCTCTCCTCCTAAAGCACACACTCTGGATAATTTGGATCTGATCTGCACGGATATTTGTGTGCCAAAGCTCAGAAACATGGGCTACAGTCAATAAAATAGCTCAGGTTCAAGAGGTCAGTGTCTGGACTGTTGTGCTCAGCCTAAGGTCCAAGTTGAGTGCTTGAAGTCTGTTGAGCCACTCAGGAGGAGCAGGGTTTTTTTTTAGTTATTTGATCCTTAGGTCTGTTGGCCATTTGACTTTGATTCGAAATATTGCTGAGAAGGCTTTTACTCCAATCTCTCCAGTCATATATAACAATAGACCCTTCCTTTTCTAATTCTTGATTCTTGTGTATTGTACAAGTGATGTTGGTAAACACTTCTTCAATAACATGCATTAATAAAATTATTTCATTACTAAATTGTTTAAGACAAAAATGATATTAACATTTTGCTATTCATTAAATTTGCTCTCCCAGTGCTTTTAAGATCATTATTGTATAGGAAAATAAATGCTTCATCTACAAGCCACCTATTACTTATTATGGAACAAGTAATAGGTTTATTCCATGCTGAAAAAAAGAAGAAAGAAAACACAATGTTTCGGCCGTGGAGTCTTCTTGGGGGGCCTTCTTCTGACACCTGAAGAAAGCTCCACTGCCGAAATGTGTTTTCTTTCTTCTTTTTTTCAGCATGGAATAAACCTATTACTTGTTCCTTTGCAGCCTACGCATGCTGACGCAGCTACCCACCTGAGCTACTATTACTTATTATTGCTAATATTCTACTTATTATTTGGAATTGGAAGAAAGAAATGGTGCTTTTGTAGTATCTCTTGTTTTGTACATCCATCGGCCAGTTACAAACCCTCACTTTACTTTTTGCAAATAAAGTGGAAATTTTACTGCAGACAACTTGTAACACTTATAATATTATGGCCATGTCTCAGCTGTGTAACTCGTCACTTTCTGCATACTCTCAGATCTTAAAAACACTGTTCCACCATAAAAAATTGAAGCTAAACCCGTTCTGACACAAGAGCCATATAAACATACTCATTAGTAAATTATTTTTATAATGAGAATGTTTGTGCCATGGAAACTTTAAAATCGTGTTTTAGCCCATTTCTATCCCTAATTCAAACACCATCTGAATCTGCAGGCTAAATTTACAACAGCACTAAAATTTAGAAGAACTTAGTAAAGTATTAATCTGCAAGAATAGCCAGAAAATCAAAACTGTCCGAGGTGAACTTAACCTAACCTAAGCTGGAAGGGTGGCTTCCAAGTGTATTGGAATAATTTATCCAAAGGTCTTGCTGAGTAGTTGAAATGTGATTGCAAAAGGACTTTCCAGCGGGATAAGGACATAAAGTACATTTAAATAATATCTACTGCCAAATGATTTAGGAGGAAAAAATCAATGTTCTTGATTGGGAATCACAGTTTTCAGAAAATCTGGTAGGAGCTAAAGAAAGCTGTTTATATATACAGGTTGTACAATCTGTAGGAGTGGAAGTGGTTCTAGATAGAAGAATGGTGAAAAATCAGTGAGGTAGCTGTTCTCAAACCTCGGAGAATAATAGTGGATGACCTAATCAGGAGAAAACTATCAATAGAAAACATTGATATTCTTGCTCTGATCTGTCCTTCTATTATGTTTTGAACATTTTCAGTCCCAACATCTAATGGCTTTTGATCTTATTAAGAGTTGTGCATATAGCAATGAGCTGGGAGCTCTTGTTTTTATTTCTGTCTGAGAACTTTCAAGTCAAAGTCAAAGCGCAAAGCAATGTGGTATGGTAAATGTCCAGTCCAAAGATAATTGCTGTATGTTATGTTGCTGTAGGTCTTAAATCAATGCTCCATATAATGTTCTTTTATTGTGTCAAGAATTTACCTTCAATTTGCCACATGCCACCAGCCACACATTTACACATCTTTAGCTGTTTTGCTGAAAATTGCCGCATACACAAAATGTCAGAATTCTTCGCAGCAGTACTGTTGTGGCTTAAAAACGTGTGTGAAGGCTCTTACCACTGCATACATATCTGGACTTCTCCTTTCTGAAAGACTGTACTGTAAGGACATCCACCAGACTATGAAAAACCCCATGATGAAGACAAGGAAAGAACAATGAGCGAAATCGTATGTGCAGATTTGTCTACTACTCCACATCCCCTTTTTCCTGCTGAAACTGCACAGTACTTCTTCCTTTCTGAAGACCAGAAGTCTGGAGCCAGGGGTTCACCACAGCCCCGCCTTCTGCTGCTCTAACTCGCGTCTTTTATGTACTGTATATTACTCATATACGCTAATCTGTACTGTCTCCATTTTGCACAGTTTGACATTGTTTCTCAAGAGATGGCTGGAATTTTGGTGGGCACAGAGAGTTAGCTGCACAGAATGTGCCTTTTGCTCCGTCAGTTTACTTGCACAAGCGTTTGTGTGGCCATTTCTTTATATCTTTTAAAAGGGTCGACTGACAAAGAGGTCTTTAACTGTGAGCCTGCCTGCACATCCTCTGAGGCTAAATGCTAATGCTGGTGCTGGTTGTTGGAAGAAAGATGGACACTAAAGCTGGCTCCAGAATACCACACTCATAACAAAAGCATCTTCATATTGACAACCATTCCATATAAGTACTGTTTTTCGGCTCTGTTTTTCAAGCATTACCTTCTATGCTAACATTTTCCATTGGTAGGTGGAAATCAGCTTAAATCTTTTAGATCAAAATCTTTTTTTTCCCAAACAGTACCTTAGTAATATTGATTTATGGTTTGTTCAAATGTAATTAGATAATAAAATCCATTCCTCTATGGAATTCTTCAAAACAGTACAATTTGTTCTCAATGAGTGATGGCAATGATGAAGATGAAGCCAAGATTTTTGTCAAAAATCAGACGTCCCCACTACCTTCTTTAGTTAATGCCTCATAATATATGTAGAATCAGAACTGTTGTCCTCCTGGAACAGTGTGGAACAAACACTACGTCCATGCTGTTGAAGGTGAAGAGCCAATGCTTATGTACATCACCTTTCACACGTTGACGTGGACAGTTTGGTTGGACTTCATTATAGCTGGCACTACGGTTTAAGGTCAATGCTCATTCCTAGTCACAATCTGGGTTCTGAGTATTCTATGTTTTTTCTAAAAAAGAACATAAGGTTTTCTTTTTGCTTTTCACCTGTTCGTGTTCATTAAGCAGTGGTTAAGTGCTCCTGCATATGCTGTTCTGGCTGAATCCCAGTTATTTGCAAGAGCTTGATCAATGTAATTGAGCTGTAATTCCAATGAACAGCCTGACCCCACATCACAGCTTTAGCCCTGAGGGGGTCGCAGGAGTGTTCCTGCATTGAACGTAAGGATAGTTACAAAATGACAGGAAGCCGTTCGGGCCATTTAACCTGTTTGTTAGAAAGCTGCTATATTCTGCAAATCCAGCCATTACTTGAGAGAAGCCAGGGTTGCTTCTCCAACAGCATAGCAAATTGTTTAATTTACAGAGTAGATTTTAGCTATTAAACCACAAGGCCCAAATGAAAATAAGAAAATGTAACAACTGGGAAAAAATTGCTTTGATTTCCTGTGGGGAAAAACAAACTGTTTAATAATTAAGAACATGAAATTAAAATATCCAACCGGAGAGCCTGTATTGTGAGTCTGTTGAGCAATGAAATGTTTTAAGTCCCATAACAGGGAACAACTGAATAATAGGCGATTTGGTTTATGAGTCATCATCTTTTTTGTCCTATATTCCTTCCATTCCTATTTACTTTCCTGAAAACTGAAGCTGAAAGCGTTGAAGACCTTTATTTGTAATTGTACTTGTGTATTTTTTACAAGTTTTATCTTTTGTTTCATTTTGAGCTTTTGTGTGTTTAAAACCTAATTCTATTTCTGCATAAGATAAAAGAAAATGAAAATGTTCCTTTTTATCAAATGTTAAGGTCTTCAACTGCCTCCTACCTGTCGTGAGAGTAAGATATTTCAAACTGAAATGAAAGTGAATTTATTAGAGAAAAATGCACATGTACTAGTCTCCATAAGACATTAAATCCACACAGATAGCAATCATGTTTTCAAAACTACTTTCTTTTCATGTGCTGCCATATTGTCAGATATGATTTCTGCTGTTGCATTCAAAGTGATGCAAGCAGGCTCTCAACCGCATGAACTAGCATGCTGTAAATAATTACTTCCTGTCTCCTAGTAACCACACTCATACTGGCTTACAGAAAATCTGTCAGCACATCCAAGAGCCCATTTCCGAACTGCAGAAAAGGAAAGAAATTGTAGTTTCAACAGAAATTAGTTCCCAAACTCTTAAGGACTTTTACTTCTTAAGTAAAAACATAAAAATATATTGAATTATCCACCTTTCCTGCTTACCTTTCAGTGTTATACCATATTTCTACCTTTAATTAAGAAAAATATGCATTGTTCAGTTACTTTTGCATTATATTAGAATTTATGTGACAAATTAAAAAACAACGTCACACAGCACAGCATATTTTGTAAACCTCATTCTTTTATTTTAATCTTATGGAAGAGACAAGTATTTTTTCCATAAAGTTGGATCTAAAGAAAAAGTAGTTGAAAACTGTTAGACTAAGAAATCACCTTTATTGTTTCACAAAATAAAATTTTCTCATTCCTAGAAAGTCTTTTACCTCTTCATTTCTGCTCAACACATAGGCAAGCTGGTTTATTTTCGGACATGTTCTGCTTAATGAACGATTTTCGTTATCAGCATCTTCTGAAAATACTTTAAAAATGGGCATAACAGAGAGGCTGCACATACGCATAACATTTCTGGTCCAGAAGTTATTTTCTCATTTGTTTGTCTGTGACCTCAAATTGGTTAATTTTGTGATTGTTCTGAAGTTGTGTCCTACCATCAA